TTGATATTGCACAGATGTTCTTTTTTTATATAGAAGAAAAAACTGACGTTGTTTAATAATAAAATTTAATACTAAGAAAAAACACAACTTCTTCACAAAAGGTAGATTTGATTGTGCTTGCACTTGGGTAGGCAATATTTTTACACTTCCCTGAACAATTTAAGCTTTTCATAAGTGCATATTAGTAGGCAAGTAAGAAGTTTAGTTTTAATTTGCAAATAAAATTTGTATTTATCAATAACCTCAGGAAAACTTGCTAATAACTTTGTGCCTCCATTTCTCTCGTTGGTAAATTAGAAATAATATCTATCTCCACCTTTAAAGAATTTCTGGGGCATTGGGGGATGGGGGATAGGTCTTAGGGGCGGTCATCCATTGAAAAAGAGGTTAGGAATCTGGTCTTGAGGCTGTCAGCAAGGCAAGCAAAGTGGTCTGACTTGGAGTACAGGTTGATTTGTTGTGGCTCTGAAGGAAGCTGATGGGTATTATTGTGGGCCAAACTTAAATGTGTGACTATCAACTCCACAGGATGGCCAGTATGACATGACGAAATGAATGGAGAATGCCTGGCATACAGGAAGTACTTAGCCATGTTAGTTCCTGTTCCCTCTATACCGCTTTGGTATAAAAAAGAAGCAATATTCTTTTCTAAAGCTACAATGAATGTAAACCACCACAAGAATTGATAAGTTCAATTTAGACAACTTGCTAGCTGCCAAAACTTAGGTACTGATAAAGATTTTTCTGTTGTCGCAGAAGCAATCGTTAGCTAGAGTGTGGCAGTAAACATACTTTTACATGTGTATAAGCAAGAACACTCAAAAGAACAGCTTTCATTGCTTTCTGATTTTATATCTTTTACTATTTCTCTGGAGAACTTAAATACAAAATACTGATTATAGATTCATCCCCGTTAGCAGAAATAAAGAATATTCATGAATAGCCAAAAGACACTCAAGGCAATAGGAAAGAAAAAAGTCCTTAGAAAGGAAAACCAAACCAAATGATTGGTTAGTGAATATTTATGAGCTGCTTATAATGACAATAGGTTTCTATTAATAGTAACAAAGACTTGCAAAATCAGAGGTTTTGCATAAAATATTCATGACAGCCATTTACATTTCCAATTTTCAATCACTGTTTCTGACTACACTGTAGAACTCTCAAAATAGAACACTAAATCTTTACATTAGAATGAACCTTAAAAGTCTGCAACTTAATTTTATTTTTCCTAAAATTAACTGCCTTCCCATTTAATCCTACTCCTACTTGAAAAACCAGGGTGAGTACGCATCTTTCAACTAACATTAGTTGAGTGCCTACTACTTGGCAGGCCCAGGCACCATGCTAAGCACAGAGAATGCAAAGGAACACTGACATCCTTGCCCTGGTTTCTCTTCATGAACAGATGAATTTCCACATCACACATGGTCAAAGACATGGGAACAGAGAATATGGAGAGAGGATGGCAAAACTGGGAATGCCTGAGCTTGTTAGAAACTGTCTCCACAAAAAGACATTTGGGCCAGCTCTTCACACCATCCTTGTGAAGCATTTCACCAGGCAGAAGAAATGATGGAGGTGCAGTGGAGAAGGAAAAAGAACCACAGGCATATAGGAACTACAATAAACGTAGCTAAGTGGTGTTTTCTAACCTGAGAAAAGACAAATTTTACGTGTTTCCAACAGATTGTTTTTATTCTCTGAAAGGTTGGGTGGCATGAACTTCCATCTCCTCCTCTCCCCAGGAACTATAATTTATTGAATGCCTATGTGTGGTGCTATATTATTATATATATATGATGTCATTCAAGAGATCAAATGCAGAACAACTTTGCAAGGTAGGTAAGTTTACCTCCATTTAATAGATAAGGAAACAAGTTCAAAGTAGGTAAGAATTTCTCCAAGATCTGTCTGACTCTGAAGTTCATACTCTTCCCCCTCTACTGCTTCCAAAGAAAGATTTTTTTTTTTTTTTTTTTTTTTTTGAGACGGAGTTTCGCTCTTATTACCCAGTCTGGAGTGCAATGGCACGATCTCGGCTCACCGCAACCTCCGCCTCCCAGGTTCAGGCAATTCTCCTGCCCCAGCCTCCTGAGTAGCTGGGATTACAGGCACGCACCACCATGCCCAGCTAATGTTTTTGTATTTTTAGTAGAGACGGGGTTTCACCATGTTGACCAGGATGGTCTCGATCTCTTGACCTCGTGATCCACCCGCCTCGGCCTCCCAAAGTGCTGGGATTACAGGCTTGAGCCACCGCGCCCGGCAGAAAGATTTTTTTGACCTGCAAATTGAATGAGGGCCACAGGAAAGTTTTAAAACCATGAATAATAGCGAACTTTATGAGTGCTTACCATGCACCAGATACCGTTTGAAGCATTTTACATATATTAATTTATTTAAGCCTCACACTTCCCTGGGAGGTAGGTACACTTATTACTGTCACTTAACAGATAAATCTGAGGTCCAAAAAGTCAGTGACCTTGCTCAAGGTCACAGAGCTGGTAAATGGCAGAGCCAAAATTCAAATCCAGGCAGTCTGGCTCCAGTGATCCCGCGCTTAAGAGCTCTGTATTCCATCTTTTAACTAGCCAAATCCTAACTCTAGACCAGCAGCAAAGACCTTGCTGATCCCAGGCAGAAGGTACAAAGTGGTAAAGAGGTCTTAGGACTCCAAATAATAATGAGAAAAAAAATTCAGTGTGTCTTAAGAATAGGGTATTGATTGATGAGAGGAGGGAAGGAAGTAGCAGGAGAAACAGGTTTCTCTTTTTATTCAATGCTGTGCAAACAAAGGGTTCTCAATTTACATTTCCTGTTTTTTTTTTGAAACAGGAAATTTCACCATAAGAAAAGCATTTTCGATTATTAAGAACTGAGAGATGCGTAATATGGCATGCGCAACATAGACCAATTACTCATGTGCATAGATCCCCAAACATTTTATACTTGAGTCTCTATGAATTGTCCTCTTCGTCACACCCCATGTATTTTGATGAAACAAGACTTTTGATAATTATTTGAAAAGAAGTTGAATTTTGCCATTCTTTAGATTTTTTAGATTTTACTATACCTCTAACATTTGCATAGTCAATATTTATGCCACAATAAAATGTAGATAAATATAATATCTTTTTTAAACTGTATTTAAATAGTGGATTTTTTGACTTATCAGCACCAGTGTTTCAAAGCGGCAAATATCATTTGATCTAAATATATTCTCATCAACCACCAGATGGCATAAGGTGTGAGGGTTTTATTTTGACAGGGTCACTATGCACATGATAATTTGACCTGTAGCTTTGAAATAATGTATTTGGAAAAATGTTCCAGCACTCAAACAGCTCACAATTATTTTAGCCATGTGTAGAAGTAGATGGATAAATTGAAAATGACATGGTTCTACTTTTTCTAAATTTTGGGGTTCTGTGGGATGTTGGCATTACATAATGAATCGATGATCAAACAAATAAAACAGTTCTGTTAAAGGAAATAAAAAAGGAAGTCATGTCAAAGCAAAGTTAACCTTATACTCTAAGTAGGTTTCTTCAACTCCAAAAGAAACTTAAAACATGCCTTCAAGAAAAAAACACGCTTATACTCCTTCAAGTTTTGCTTAATAGAAACTTTTTACTCTCTGTAATTTATCCTGAAAGCAGAAAAGTGTATCAAATGCCAAAGCTTTTCTCTACTTTAGCTTGAAGGAAACTTGTTACAGAATCAACAGAAGAAAGCAAATCCAACTGGAAAACTCAGTCTGAACTATATGATGTTAAAGGATGTAAGGTATATTTTAATATACTTAATTTAAAAAAAATGTACTCAATTCTGGCTAAGCACAGTGGCTCACGCCTGTAATCCCAGCACTTTTGGAGGCCGAGGTAAGCAGATCATGAGTTCAGGAGATGGAGACCATTCTGGCTAACATGGTGAAACACTGTCGCTACTAAAAATACAAAAAATTAGCCAGGCATGGTGGCACATACCTGTAGTCCCAGCTACTCGGGAGGTTGAGGCAGGAGAATGACTTGAACCCAGGAGGTGGAGGTTGCAGTGAGCCAAGATTGTCCCACTGCACTCCAGTCTGGGCAACAGAGTGAGATTCTGTCTCAACAAAACAAAACAAAACAAAACAAAAATATATATATATATACACTCAAACACACCCAATTCCTCAATTGCTACACAAATTCAAAATGCAGCACGTTACCTCTATTAATCATGCCTTTTCGTCTAGAAAAGAGGGCGCATGGTTAACAGTAAACTGAAGAGCTAAAAATTGAGATAAATGAAATGCAAAAAATAGGATCCTTTATGGTAGCACATTCACTGAGTACCTTGGAATCAGCACCCCAGAATAAAAGACTAGCACCACACAGCTAATACCACAGAACAGAAATGGCATCTTTGCTCTAACAAGATGAAGCAGAAAAACTGCCTTCAGGTGTCAAGAGACCAAAGATGAGATTAAGTTTCCTTCCTTATTGTGGTCTAAGAGTCAATGATTTCTAAAGATACAATAATTTATGTTTGTATTTTGCTATATCTTTCCTCATTACATTTAATATATTTGGTTCTTGAATGAGAAATCTGTGGGAGAAGAAACAATGTTTGGAGCTACAGAAAGGATGAAAAGCTAATTGATGATATATAATTTTTTGCTTTTTTAAAAAAAGCCATTACTAAGTCACATGTTGATAAGGTTGATGGAAATTAGAGTAAGAGAAATAATGGGGAGGATATTATGAGATTTCTGCACTGTGGATCGTGTCCTATCTCCATCTTTGGCAGCCAATATGTAGCAAAGATATTTCCTACCTGGATTCATACGAAAGCAAGAAATGATCCTTTCCCTTATTCTTGTTCTTATACTTAGAAAAGGGAGCAAGTTGTTATTTTCAAAAGTTCCTGCTGTAATTTCCAAGTTGGACAGTAGAAAGTGGAATAATAGACAATTCAAGTTAAGGTATGCATTCAAGGCACTTAATATTTCTTACTTTAAATTCCATTCTTTATGATGCTGTAGATCCATTTTCTTCCATTTGTAATACTGTCCAATGAATTTTGGATCTTTGAGCACTGAAATTAGAATATTAAAAAAAGAAGCTATGTATATATTCTTTAATAATAGTTAAAAGTTAAAAATCATTCACTTCTTGTTAAGTTGATATGTGGCAATAGCATATACTATATAATTCAAATCATATTTCAATGCTCAGAAACTTTCCAAATTATTTGCTTTTACTGGAACATTGTAATGTTAGATATTGTTTGAAATAGGTAGGTTGTGACTTGCAAGTTTTTTTCATTATAATGAAAAACATTATATATCCTTTAGAGTGTTAAATAAAATTTATAAGAGACCATTGTTTTAGACTGAGCATGTACCCTAGGCATTAACAGACCAAACCGAAATGGAGTCACTTGTGCTGTCATGCAATAAAACCGAAACTTTAAGGAAGCAGGAAAATCTTACAAACAGACCAGTTTTTTCAAAAGAAGAGATTCACAGCCATCAGTCAGAAGGGGCCCAGTCAACTTGAAGTGGCATGATAAGGAAGTCCCCTGTGCTTTAACCCTTAAAAGGAAAGTAACTGAAGTGCCTTGTGTTAACCAATCCATTTTTTGTATTATTCTGTTTTCTTATTCCTGCTCTAGCTACCTTATGAGAACTAACTGTTCTGCTGTGCTCCAGAGAGCACTTATCTATTTTTAAGATGAGATGCTGCCTGATTCACGAATTACTAATGCAAGCCAATTAGCTCTTTAAATTTATTGAAATATAGCCTAGCCAACATGCTGAAACCCCATCTCTATGAAAAATACAAAAATTAGCCAGGCGTGGTGGCACACACCAGTAATACCAGCTACTCAGATGGCTGAGGCACAAGAGTTATTTGAACCCAGGAGTCAGAGGTTGCAGTGAGCTGAGATCACACCACTGCACTCCAGCCTGGGTGACAAAGCGAGACCCTCTCTTAAAAATAAATAAAAATTTAAAAAGAGGAATTTTGCTTTTAGCAACAATAATGAAGAGAGTATTGAAATAACTCATATAAAACCCAGATATCACAGTTTAACAAAATTCTAATTCAAATTGAAATTTTGAAGTTGGAAATGACATTAAAGACCTTGCTTGATCTTTCACAGAGCAAGAATCTCCAACAGATGATCATCCAGGCTCTGAATGAATTACTTGTCAACTACAGAAAATGCACCACTTTGTAGTTGGGAGACTGCTCACTCCATTGGCAGGTAAGGCTTACAATGTCCTTCCTGAATCTGACTGCAGCGAGTTTCCACTGGTCTTGGTTCTAACCTCTGGAGTGATACTAAGTTCACCCCTCTCCCACAGGAGACAGCCCTCTAATAGCTCACAGGGAAGTCTCAGTTCTTTCAACTGTTTCTTAGGATATGATTTTCTAGAAACTTAACCATCCTTAATTTCCTGGTGATAAACTCTTTGATGTTCCTATTAAAGTTTGTGTCTAGAACTGGATCAATTGGTTTGAAGCAAAGATGCAAATGGGCTTACTACCTCCCTTGCTCTGTGCACTATCAATTCAGCTCAGATCTGCATTAGTATTTTCTGGAATTCACATTACATCACCACTGGCTCATAAGTTTGTGGTTAATTACAAGCCTACAATTTCAATCAAATTCACATAAGATTTATTAAAAACCTACTATGTTTAAGGCGCTGGCAATTTTTACATGAAATATTATTAAGCCAGATCATATGCCCATATATACTTCATCTATTTTCCTATTTCTTATTATTGTTCTGAGCTTAGCTTACAGTCTTGAACTATTTAACCAGCTAGATGCTCTCCATCAGTCTTGGCCATGTCTGGGGCCACCTTCTTCTTTCTTCTTCTCCTCTTCTTTCTTCTTTCTCCTCCTCCTTCTTCTTCCTCCTCTTCCTCTTTTTTTTTTTTTTTTTTTTTTTTGTTTTTTTTTTTGTGTTGTTGTTTTTTTTTTTTCCTGCGTTACGTGGGCGGGTGCGGCGGCATGGTGTCTCACTCTGTCACCCAGGCTGGAGTGCAGTGGCATGACCATAGCTCACTGCCACCTCGTGTTCCTGAGCTCAAGGGATCTTCCCACTCAAGACTCCCAAGTAGCTGGGACTATGGGCACATGCCACCATGCCTGGCTAATTTTAAATTTTTTTGTAGAGATGGAGTCTCACCATTTTGCCCAGGCTGGTCTCAAACTCCTGGGCTCAAGCAATCCTCCTGCTTTGGCCTCCCAAAGCATTGGGATTACAGACATGAAGCACCATGCCCAGCCTGGGGCTTTCTTCTTAATGATGATTAATTTATACCTTTTAGCTTGATAACATTTGCCATTGATAGAAAAGAAAAAAAACATTGTAACTGAATAGTTTCCTTTTTTACATGATTTTCATGAACAATGTTTTTGTCTGTTCCTTATTAATTTTCTTGCCTCAAACAGATGTAAGCACACATACATGTATATTCTCGTAGACTTTATTAATACTTTTTATTGGTATTTGAATATATACTCCTCTCTTCCATTAAAGAAGTAAATCTTAGCTCCCCAGAGTTCTTGTGAGGTTTCATTATTTCCTTTAGATGATTATAATTAACATTAGCAGATTTTTTTGTTTTTTACAGTCTCATTCTGTCACCCAGGCTGGAGTGCAGTGGTGCAATCTGGGCTTACTGCAACCTCCACCTCCCAGGTTTAAGCGAATCTCATGCCTCAGCCAGCAAGTAGCTGGAATTATAGGTGTGCACTATCATGCCTGGCTAATTTTTGTATTTTCAGTAGAGATGAGGTTTCACCATGTTGGCCAGGCTGGTCTCAAATTCCTGGCCTCAAGTGATCCACCTGCTTTGGTCTCTCTAAGTGCTGGGAATACAGGCATGAGCCACTGCATCGAGCCAGAATTTTTATTGTATGCTGGGCACATGTAAAATAGATATGGTTACCATTAGAATACCCACTGTACAGGTGGGCAAACAGACAGAGGTTGAGTAATGTCTTCTCATTGGGACTCTTCATTACTCTTAGCCAAAATTTAAAATTTAATCTCTCACGAATGCTATTTCCTTTTGAGGTTTCTATTTAAGGATAATTCATATCTTTTCTTAAACTTTTTGAGATTGCTTTTCCTCATTTTATATTTGAATATGTATGGCTGTCTCTTCCTTATATATTATGAAATTCCAAATGACATGGTCATCCTTCCTGAATCGTCCCATTAGTTTTATATCATTGACTCATTTTCTTCATTGCTTTCTCCATCATCTGAGAGATGAAAATGCCACAGTACTTTGTACAAACTTTTAACACTTCTCATATTTTATCCCTATGATTTTTTTTTCACTCATCTGTCTCCTACCAATTGCCTGTAAACTCCCTGAAGAGCTTAACACGATACATGTCTTCTTGTCTCTAACGCACAGCCAATTGTCTAAATATAGAAGGTGCTCAACGAACGACACTGATCGGAGAGAAACAATGAAAGAATGAGGACAGGAGACAGACAGAAGAAAGGAACCATGTAACTTTAGCAGAAGTTCTTCAAGTTGAAATTCTTTCATCACTATGATATCTTGCACATGTGGCATTTTGTTGCAAGCTGTGGTAGGAAAGCATCCTCTGTTGCCTCCACAGTATAGTTCTTCATTTTCTGTTGTGCCTTCTGCAGATTCCAGGGCATTGCTTCTACTCTGCTTTTTTTTTTTTTTTTCTGTGATACTCCTCTTGTCCAACATCTGTAGAGGTTGCCCTGAATTTTTCTTCCACTACAGAATGGTCACATCCCAAAAAGAATAATAGCACCGACTTGCCTCAGCATGTTCTATTTTCACACATGCTCTCTCATGCTAACCATAGAGCAACAGAAAGTAGGATGGAATATTTTTGTCAATCAATAGAAATGAAAACCAAAGTACAAAGAGTTAAGTGACTACCTTAAATTCACTTACCTACACACGGCAAAACTGATACAAGGCTAAGGAGTTTCTAACTTCTGACATCATGCTCTTCCCACTAGGGACTTCCCAGCCTTGGTTGCACATTGTAGTCACCTGGGGAGCTTTAAAAACTACTACTGCCTGGTCCTACTCCCAGAGATCCTGATGTAATTGGTCTTGGGTGTGCCCTCTATATTGAAATTTTTACAAGCTCCTCAGGTGGTTCTAATGAGCAGTCAAGTCTGAGAACCACTGCATTAGAGTTAGATGATACTGCTTCTTGCATCTAAATGTGTTTTGGAGACACTTGCCCTTATTGATGGCTTAAAGACTCAAAGAATGAGTCTCCTAGGGTGAAGCAAACATCCCCATCATGCTTCACGCTGTTTGGTCTGTCTTGATGACAGCAAACAAACATCAGGAAGCCTAGGCTAAGTATTACAGAGTACACTGGTCTGGAGGAATTCTTTTCCTCTAACATAAACATTTCCTTATGGGGATCATATTCTGTCATTAAGGCACTGTTGCCCACAACCATATGTATTGGTTTGTTCTCTGCCAAATCTTTTACTTGCCATTCTATAGCAATGGAGAAAGAACAGTGGGTCCTTGGTACATTTTCCATGATTGCCTATGCTTATTAACTAAAAATTATAGTTATTTACAAACATGCTACATGTACTTCTGAGTTTGAATTTAAATCTCATACATACAGAGATAACAATTTGTTGTCATATTATGGAGGCAGTAGAGCATCAGAGAAAGAGCAACAAATGTGGAGTCAGAAGATGTGGTTCAAGTCTCTGGACCACAGCCTACCAAATTAATAATGTGCATACTTATTGAGAACTCACTACATGCTAGGCACTGTTTTAAGTGCTTCAACTCTATTAAGTAGGTGCTGTGATTATTCTCATTTTATGGATGAGAAAACTGGGACACAGAGAGGGTAAACAGTTAACCAAAGCAACACAGCTAGTAAATGGCAGAGCCAGGATGAAACTCTGGTAAATCTGACCTCAGGATGTACGTTGTTTACCAACATGTGATATTCTCCCTCACATGTATGATCTTAGGTAAATTACTTAGTTTTTCTGGTCTTACATTTCTCATCTTAAAACAAAGTAATAATAATAATAATAATACCTGGCACATGGGGTTGATATACCACTAAGCAGGACATATATTAGGTGTTTAATAATACTGGTTGAATAAATGAATAAAAGAATGATAGACTGGGATGGCTAAATATATATGAGCATATTTCATAAACTGCATTATACAAGAAGAAACTTACTATTATTATGATACCAACGACTATGTATAGATTTGTGGCACAAGACAGGGAAAAGGGTTAATAACCAAAATCAAAATTTAACTACTTACCACTATTCATAAAAGATAAAGCTCTTAAAAATATGCTCAAGAGTGTAATAATCTTTCCAATGCTAAGAATGTAACTGTAGAAAATGAAGTTATTCAAAGTTTCTCTTTTATTTCTGAGTAGTTGAAGAAGCATTCTATAATCTAAAAGCTTCATCTTTATTATTGCCAGGAAATTAGGCTATCAAAAAAGATCGTGTTGGATCTCATCCAGCTGGGCTATCAAAAGATAAAATGGCCAGCAGCACATGTGAAGTTTACATTTAATTTTTTTAAATTAAGTGCTGGTTATTATTCAAGGAAAGCTCTTGAAACATTCTTACAACAATTCCCTAGGGGAAGAAAAGGCAGGGTGATTGTGAAATCATGCACCAAGTGCTAGATTCAAAGTCTCAGAAATTCTTTTGGGCTAGAGATAACGAGGACCAGTTATTGCCTTTACAAACAGGGATGAATTACATACAGGGTGAGTGACAGATGTAGAAGTAACAAAATTAAACATTTCAGGGGCCAAACTCTTTTTGAGGAAGAAACTGTGGTCAGTGGTTGCCTTATTATTTCCTTCCATTTTCAATTATTCTTTATTGCAAGACAAGCATTCCCAAATCTCCTTAAGTTTTGGCACATGCTTCTATTTTTTTTTCTTCCTCTAGCAGTTTGGTGTTTCTAAGTGGCCCTATATATTTACATGTTATTCCAGAAAGCACCATCCTGTAACAATCTATTTTTTGGTGGAAGAAGTTTGACTCTGAGTGGTTCCCTAGAGTGTGCTAATTAATATCTCTCAACTATAATTAAGGGTTGTTGTCCCCAAAGCCTATATGAGCTTCTCAGTGCCTCATACATAGTAGGTACACATAGCAGATGTGTTTGCTGAATTGACTAAGCTGCATTAACAAATCTGTGACCTGAATTAACTATTAAAGAACTCTGGTATCAAAATAATTAATATTTTATACTGATAGAACTGCTACAGATTATATATCTCAATGTACCTTAAATTTTTTTGACCTATAAGTGAGGATGGTAATATATAATCAAAAAATAATAGCAGCCGACCTCCTGAAAGAACATGTGATTTCTTAAAAGTTATTGATCTAATTTACCTTTCAGCAATATTTATTAAGCTTAGTACTATGTTTTGCTCTCATTTGTGCCTTGAAACTAGATACTATTTTTCATGAAAAGAAACTATCACAATGATGAGATGAAATATAATGAGACCTCAAATTAAGGCAATGTTAAGGGGGTGGAGTGGAGTGGAAGTATTCATAATACTGCAGGTGATAAAATCAATAAGACTTAATGAGAGAGATCAAGAGATTTGGGAAACTTCTAAGATTCTGGCTTAGGTAAGAAAATGTAAAAATGGTCATTTACCACTAACCAAGAGAGCAAATAAAGGAAGAAGGATAGATTGGGGCAAGATGATGAATTCACTTTGAGACATCTTGAAGATGTCATATCTACAATACATGTAGGTGAGATATCCCTTGCACAATTATAAATATAACTGCATGTAAAATTCGGAAGAGGGGTCTGGCTAGAGATGCAGCTTTAGGAATCACTGGCATGTAGGCATCCATGGTAGTGGAAGAGGTCTGTCAGAGAGAGTAAGTAGAGAGGACTGAATGAAGAAGATATTGCCAAGGGAAGAGGCAGCGCAATGCTTAGGCAGGGAGATGAAAACGCATGGATGTATGGTGTCCTGTAAATCAAGGAGAGCACAGCTAATGAGACTGCAAGTAAGAAGAGGACTAAAATGCAATTGTTGTATCTGGGAATTCAGAAATCTCTGCTACTGCAGAATGCATCATTTTCGAAGGATGGCTGAAGCAAAGTCATACTTCAGTAAGTGTATACAGACTGGATAAGCTAACTTTCATCCAGATAATGAAATAGTACTCTAAAGATCCAATTAAATCGAGCCAGAAAGTTGTCCAACTCTCCCATTCTGTCTTTTTAGGTCCTAATGATGGTAACAGATGATTTTTCCTTTTAGGTTGATATAACTGAAGAGCCCTATGTTCTTATGTTTTCTCGCTAAATTTCTACCTAATATTTCCTGTGGCTTAGAAGAGAAATAAAAAGGTTCTCTCTGGTGTGAAGGCTTTTCTCTGTGGTAAAGGGAGTAAAGTAAACCTCATAAGACTGGGAGCTTTTCTGTTATTCCTCCAAATGACTATCTCTTTTAGCTTTTAATCAGACTTCAGTCCAGGGATCTATACAACTTTGATTCTTCTTTGAGAGGCTGAGGCAGGAGGGTTGCTAGAGGCCAGGAGTTTCAAACTGGCCTGTACAACACAGTGAGATCCCCATCTCTAAAAAGTAAAAATAAAAATATTAGCCATGCATGGTGGATTTTGCCTGTAATCCTAGCTACTCATGAGGCTGAAGCAGAGATTGCTTGAGTCCAGGAGTTTGAGGCTGCAGTTAGCTATGTTTGCACCACTGCACTCCAGCCTGGGTGACAGAGTGAGACCCTGTCTCTAAGACAAAAAATTAAAATTAAAAAAATTTTTTAAAAATAATTAATAGTTGTTGAATGAATAGTTTATAACGCCTACAGAGAAGTGTATTACTCTTCCCTAGCAGATGTGTGCCAATTAGTCTTTGAAAGAAAGATAAATGTTAACAGATTAACATATACCAAAAGGACATAGGATAAGAATAGTTCACCTTACATGGAGTTCTGTAGTATTCTGTGGCTGTTGATGTAGCTATTCCAGACCATGTCTGGTAGTAATCACTAAATAGGACTCCTTTAATTGATCTGAAAATATAAATAAAAATCAGACAATGGGTAGTTTGTAAATTTTCTCTTTAAAATTATTGTATTGTTATGTGGACTATTCACATAATATCTTGTCACAAGATACTAAACTGACTTGCAAATTGTAACATGCATTTTTAACAAATGTATCCAACATATTGATTTCAGCAATAATGAATACAAATCACAAAAAAGAAAATGTCCAAATCGTTTTTCAATAATATAAATATGGACCCATGTGTATATTTTAAAAAGAAAAATACAGGTTTAAGACATCTGCCTTTCATGACTAACATTAAAAAATAACTTTAAGCAAAGCATTATACCTGTCAATTTCTCATTCTGTAATAACAGTAAACATCTTTCTTGAACCTCTATGCCAAATTCTAGTAAAAAACCTTTATTACTTATAATGAGGCCAGAATACAAGCATTATAATTGAGATTAGTTCAGTTTTTATGGAGAATCTGTCTGTTTTCAAAGAGAGGAAAAACAACTCTTTCCTAATACTCCTGCCTGCTACTTCTCCCTCCCTGGGCTAATATTACTATGTCCTAATGGGGACCAAAGATTGTTATAAGGTGTTAAATGGGAACTAGAAAGCAGTCCCTTAACTAACTGCATTTCCAAGCATTTTTCCCACAGACTTTTTAAATGCAGAGATTCTCAAGACTCTGTAAACAAAATATTACTTAAGCATATTTTTTCAGACATGAGAAATCACTAGTTAACTGGCTTCAACAGATACTTAAACATCCAGTGCAATATGCGTTATGCCTGTTTTCCAATTTAAGTTCTTAGCTCTTTGGAAAAAGAGGCAAGTCTTCAGTCAGAACAAGTATATTAACATTAGTTTTTATAGGTAAATCATAGATACCTTAAACTAAATATTTGACTCAACTTTGAAATTAATGGGGCATTATCTAAATGTGTTAATTCATTCATTTATTTAAATAACAATATGGACACCTAATTTTAAGACTAACATTTTTTGAATGTGTTATTACTTTTACAATCACACCTAAGTAGAAATTTGAAACCTGGGGAAGATAAATTAATAATTACTATTATTGCTTCCAGAGCTGCATGCTGTGGTATAGACAACTAAATGATATACTAAACTAACACGAATTTGCCAATGAAATGTCTTAGCATTTGGCAACAGAGGTAACAGAATGAAAGGCTGCATTATATCTCTTGTGTGAAAAAGCTTGTGATCAATTTGCTGTCACAGATCATTTAGCACACAACAATGACTCAAGAGGAAGGAAACTGTCAACACACTGTCTCGTGAAAAAAAATACACCATCTTCAGGCACAATCGTCTCCATTGTTTTTTGTCTGTTTGACCGTGACCCATGACCCCTTTCCCTTCCCAAGAGTGTCCTGTTCAATTTCAAACTGTTAGCCCTCAGGGGCTTTCTGTTTTTTCCTTCATAGTAATTAAAAATATTACCCTAAAAGGTATAACTTTAGTGTGGTTTGAACATACAAAGCAAAATGTCTTATACATTTGGAGGTATTTGAATTTTCAAATCTCTAAAGGAAACAATCCCTTAAAAAAAGAGAACAGTTACTATATTTTACTACTATTCAGATAAACTAAGCTTACGGGGATATACACAACATAAAAATACATGTGTCTATAGTTGCAACCAATAATGGGAATTTACTGAGCACTATCATTGACATTACGAATACAAAAAAAGTAGAAGACATTATTTGATTATTTTTAATATATTTTTTGCACTTTAGATTCTGGGGTACATGTGCAGAACATGCAGGATTGTTGCATCAGTACATACATGGCAATGTGGTTTGCTGCCTCCATCCCCGTCACCTACATCTGGCATTTCTCCCCATGTTATCTGTCCCCAACTCCCCATCCCCCACTGTCCCTGTCCCTCCCCTAGCCCCCAACAACAAACCCTAGTGTGTGATGCTCCCCTCCTTGTGTCCATGTGTTCTCATTGTTTAACACCCATCTATCAGTGAGAATATGTGGTGTTTGATTTTCTGTTCTTGTGTCAGTTTGCTGAGAATGATGGTTTCCAGATTCATCCATGTCCCTACAAAGGACACAAACTCATCATTTTTTATGGCTGCATAGTATTCCATGGTGTATATGTGCCACATTTTCCTTGTTCAGTCTATCATTGATGAGCATTTGGGTTGGTTCCAGGTCTTTGCTATTGTAAACAGTGCCAGAATGAACATACATGCATGTTCAGAACAATTTATAGTCCTTTTGATATATACCCAGTAATGGGATTCCTGGGTTAAATGGAATTTCTATTTCTAGGTCCTTGAGGAATCACCACACTGAAGACATAATTTTAAACTGAACATTAGAATTTGTTATCCTATTGGAAAAATAAGATACATACCTGGACTAGTGAGCTGAACAGCTTTATATATTAACACAATAAAGTGTTACATGGTTTAACAGAGGCATTTGGAGAATATAATTACAGTTACTTCTCTGCTCTGGCTGTGGCAATAAGCAAAGAAGTCAGAGGAGGGAGATGTAACTTTTTTTTTTAAGTCATCAGGAAAAGAGTCATTTGGGATACAGGTCTAGAAAAAAATAAGTGGGCACTCTAGGGCAAGGGAAGAGTATTAGTAATTCTTCAGATGGTATAGCGCATGGCATGTGGATATGCATGTACAGAGGGTTGGGGGAAGAAATAATAGTAATAGGACAATTGACTAGAATGGAGAGTTCAAATTCGGAGGAGGTGAAATTGATAAGTGAAACTAGGCTGTGCAGGGTCCTCAAATTTAGGCAGAGAACAGGTTAGAGTCGATTCAGTAATCTTGATTTGTTGGGTAATAGCCACCAGTAGTTCTTGAATAAGGCAAGTAAATTATGGAATCCATGTTGAAGCAAGACTTTTCCTTGAAAGTAATAAGCAGGGTGGAGTATAGAAGAGAGGTTAAATGCAAGGGGACCAGATAGGAAACAAACATAGTAATTCAACAATGGGCCACTGAGAGCTAATAGCAGAGTGGCAGCAAAGGTTATGAAAGGGAGATGAATCTGAAGCAACGCTAAAAAATTGGCTGCACTGGTTGGTTGCCTGACAGGGTGTGAAAAGTGAAGGAATATTACAGTCAAATATTCTTCTAAAGCCCAGAAGCCTGGTTAGTTTTGCTGTTAATAGAAGGCATCAAGAGAAACTGAAGTAAAATGTGAGTTTAATTTTAGACATAGATTTCAGGCGATAGTACAGACAAGTCAAAATGATCTTGAGGAGTGTGATTAAGACACTGAGATTAGAAATAAGAGATTTGGGTTAAATCAACAAAATCAGTGATAGATGAAGCCACTAGAGAAAACAACCTCCAAAAAAGTATTTCGAAAAGAAAGAGCAGAAACCAACTTATAATTAAGAGGAGCCAGTGAAGAAAAGAGAAAGATTCATTAAATGAAGAAGAAAATCATGGCTATTTCATGGAAGCAACATCCCAACCATAACCAAAGTCTAACAATTAAACCCCTAAATATCTCTGGTTGGACCCTTTATTTCTGTCATGGCCTAGTTGGGTAGTATCATGGATAAGAGGGCAGGGTCTGGAATCAGCTGGCCTGAGTTAAAACCCTCTGGCGCTTCTACTTGTTAGCTGTGTGGCTCTGGAGCAAGTTACTTAACCTCACCAGGTCTGTTTCTCTAAAATCAGGAGATAAAACTTTCTCAAGTGGTTGTTGTGAGCATTCAATGAAATCATGCATGAAAACAGCCAAGTTTAGCACCTCGTCAGCACTTAGTGTCAGCTGATCTCCATTGCCTTGGTAAGTACCTCATCATTTCTCTCCTATTAACTCTAAACAGCTTCCTTGTAGTTTTTCTACCCCTAATTTTCCCTATTCTAGGTTATCATACCTCTGCTTGAGAACCATATTTGGTACTGAGGTGGGCGGATTATCTGAGGTCAGAGGTCAGGAGTTCGAGACCAACCTGGCCAACATGGTGAAACCCCGACTCTACTAAAAATATAAAAATTAGCTGGTCATGGTGGCGTGTGCCTGTGATCCTAGCTACTCGGGAGGCTGAGGCAGGAGACTTGCTTGAACCTGGAGGTAGAAGTTGCAGTGAGCTGAGATTGCGCCACTGCACTCCAGCCTGGGTGACAGAGCAAGATTCTGTCTCAAAAAAAAAAAAAAAAAAAAGAAAAAGAAAACCGCATTTGGTTATATAATGCTATACAAAGATATCTAAATACTTTCAAATAGAACTTGAGGCTCCTCACCATCTGGCCTTTTCCATCCCTTTCTTCTATTATCCATCCCCACATCCTGAGGCTCCATCACAGAGAATTTCCTACTAATCTGAGCATACCATGAGATTACACTCCTCTTCCTGTGAAAGCTGTTCTAGAGACTCTTGTCTCCACTGTGCCTGTCAAACTGACTCATCAAAGTTTGGATCCAGTAAAAATATTTTGTATATGAAGGTTGTCATAGTGGACACTGTAGTTGCCTCCTCAACAGCTCTTGCATTCTTCCCCTATTATGTAGATACCATACTCTCTGACGGGACTGACCCCACCACTGGCTCTAAATCAGAGCCTGATGGGTTCAGGGCTGTCTGACCATGATGCCTAATTCAGGAACAGGAACTTGATCTAAAAGGATCCAGTCAGAGCAAAGTAATAGTCGTTTTCTCGTACATCTTGATATCTAGGGGCATCAATGCTCTAACTTTCTTCAAGATTGCCTTCTTATTCTATGTCCTTTATACTTTTAGATATATTTTACAGCCCGCTTACAAATTTCATAAAAAAAAAAAAGCAGGAATTTGGATTGAGATTGAATTGAATCTACAGTTTAATTTCGGAAGAATTAACAATATAATAATATTGAGTTTTTCCCAAGCCACAAACATTGGATATTTCTATTTCTTTATGTCTTTTACATTTTCTCTCAGAATATTTGTGGTTTTCAGTATAGATGTCTTCTACATGTTTTGTTACATTTGGATGCTGCTCTAAATGGTATT